AAATCTTAGGAACAGAGCAAATTGTTGCTAGACTTGTAAAATATGCTTTGGTAGTTTCTGGTTTCCTGATTTTCTTAGTAATTATTTATATCAACTCTTCATTTTAGCATATTGTATTGGATTGAACTCAATATTTTTATTTATTGAAATTATGAAACAGGTGCACGCCGTAAAAGGAGATGGGGGTATTCGCACGCCAAAAAGTTAACATATCTTTTACGGCGTGCACCCGTACGCCGTAAAAAGCTAGACATCATCTTTTACGGCATACGAGTGCACGCTGTAAAAGTAGGTGGGTATTTACGGTGTCCTTTTACGGCATGCATTGCACGCCGTAAAAAAAAGTGAGCTTTTACGGCATGGCCTAATACGGCGTGCACCCGTACGCCGTAAAGAACTATTTACGACATGCATTGCACGCCGTAAAAAGCAACTTCTGCTGTAGTGTTTGCCAAACACAATCTCTCGCAAATTGATATGATTGCACTGTCAGTAGGTCACACTGTTGGTTTTCCCCACTGCAATCGTTTTGCAAACCGCCTTTACTCGTTCTCACTCAACTGCTCGAGAGAGTACTATCCTGCTTTCACCCAGCTAAGTTTTCTATCGCTTTGCTCTCTAATGTCAGTGGGATGGATTTGGATTCGGAGTTCACTTTTGATATGAAGAAATACATATGTAGAGAACGGAACTGTATATTGAAGGTTTTATATCTGTCTTTAATCATTGCCCGAGAAACATTAGTAGTGGTAAAGAAAATGGAATCCATTTCGATTTTCAAGATCAAACTTGATTAACAGAGTGAAGGAAAGAGAAGGAAAAATTTAGTGGTTGTTTGGTCACTGATGTGTTTCTTGTATCGATTTTTGCTTTAGTAATTTGACAAACAAGAACAAAAAAACTCATTTAGTTCCCTGTTTTTACATTTGTTTATATGAAAGCGGAAACATGAAAATTCTGATAACAGACCGTTAGAATGTATATAGGTGATTTTTTGTGTGGTATATGTTTTCTACAAGAGAGGAGTTTATTTTGTGAAAATCTATATATAGTTTTCTCTGGTATTTTTGGTATGAAACATGTAGGATGTGATAATCTAAAAACCAACATTTTCGCTGCAACACTCTTCGATTTCGTCATGGACAGTTAGCCCATCATGTGTAACTTTTTTTGCCACTTTTTTCCCGTTATTCTTGGTGATTGTCACTTTTTTTGTAGTTTGTCTAATTTTTTTTTTTATTTTTTTATTTTGTCAAGTGTTTGTCACTTTTTTTTTTTTTAATGTGTGCAACTTTTTTAATGTGTTGTTTTTTTTAAATTAGTCACTTTTTTTAAAATTTATGTCACTTTTTTGAATATTTGTCACATTTTTAGTATTTGTCACTTTTTTTGTCACTTTTTTTCAGTCGTCTTATTAAAATTTCTATCACTTTTTTAGTAACAAACATCATTTTTAATAAATGATAAATTGTATATATTTAATAAAAAGATGACACAAAACTTTTAAAAATGACAATTTTATCACTTTTTTGTGTGTAACTTTTTTCCTACCACTTTTCTGAATTTTTTCACTTTTTATTGTTTGTTACTTTTTAAAAATTTCTCACTTTTTTTTATAATTAACATATGTTTTGATTGGTGTTTTGTTACCTTTTTAAATATTTGTCACTCTTTTGAGTTTGTATCACTTTTTGAGTGTGTGTGTGTGTCATTTTTTTTTTGAATTTTGTCACTTTTTTTGAGTTTGTGTCACTTAAAAAGTGACATTGTGTCACTTTTTTATTTTACACAGTATTTCTTACTTCCTAAAAACATTTCACATGATTTTTCAAAACACCCATAATTTTAAGGGTATTTTTGTAAGTACCCCTGAATTTTTAGGGCAGTAGGCCTAATTTCTCCTACCTAAAGGGAAAAATTCATAAATAAAGTTTATACTTTACACCAATTCAAAAATCAGGTTTATAGTTTGAAAATTCAAAAATTA